GTCTATGTCAAGGTGAGACCCTCGCCTTTCACCTTGACCAGAACCCTCTCACCTTGCAAATCAAGGCAAACCTTGACCAGTTGGCAACACTAGCTATCTCTAATCTTATACTATGGAATCCTTTTATGTTAATTCTATAGATAATAGGTACAAATAAATATTTGCACTTTAAGTCAATAACATTATGATTATCATTGACAATGTTAAGTCTATAGATAATGCTTAGCTAATCTTTAAGCATCATCCGAATTGTAGTTAAGGATTGTTCGCATATTACGTTTGCATTTGGGGTGGGGGGAGGGAGTTGACCAAGGCTATACCAAATAACATATAACTATGGCTAGAAAAAAGTGACACTTTGGTGACAATATATATATATATTAAAGTATAATTGCAATGCCTTCACAAAGTATTGTGTATGCTTTTTAATAAAAACACATAAATTATGTTATATTGCAATATACGTTAAAAATATCGTTTCTAGCCCTACATAAAACACAGTATAATAACGCAGTCATCCTATAACAAATACAACCTCGCTGTGTGTGTGGTAAATTTTTAAGTTAAATAATTAATATATTGCTAAACACATGTAACCAGTATTGTGCGTAAATACTGGGAGGATGTGCTGAATATGCACGAAGACAAAGATGGCTTCAAAGAGTCCACTCGCGAACGCATCGCAATCTTTCCCTCAATCGTGACCAGAGCTGAGGAACATCTCGGTGTGAAAGCGGACGCCACGTGCGAACTCGGCAAGAAGTACCCTGATGCGAAACACAAATCGATTACCGTGTCGCTTGTTAAAGTATTTGTCAAGTACGCCGACTTTGCGCTATAATCATTGTTACCAAACTATGACTGTTTTAATTTTGTGTGCATTTAATGTATACATAATTTTATCATTTTATAAGCAGTAATTTTGTATTAATAATTGTTGAAATAAATGAATTATTAAATTCTAACACTTTTTGCTATTAGTATTATGTCATATTTAATTTAATTGTTTATTAATTTAATCAACAAATAAAATTACATTTTTAAAATATACTGTTATATCTCATGGAAATTCTGGTATTGATTAGTTTTTATTAACTTTTATATGAAATATTCAAAATTGTTAAAATTAGTAACTTTATTTTAATAAGTATGTTGAAATTAATAAAACTAAAAAAGGACAAAGTATAGTCCTATCCGGCTATTCAAAATGACTTCGGTTTTAGATGTCAAACAAGATTATCCTAAAAAACGTAAAGTATTTGTTGCGTATTTTTTGTAAAAATTTAATTAATTTAAATTTAATTCTAATTAATTAATATAATTATAACATCTGGTGTCAAACATATTCAGTCCTGAGTTAGAACTCTTAGATCTCAACCATTTTGAATTACATAAGGTATTTTGTTAGAAATAACAATTAAAACACTAATAATGAAGTTGTTTATTGTATTGACAGTAATTGGTATGTAAATTCATTTACTAATATATATATATTAATTTAATAATTAACATTATTTTACTTTATTTTACGAAATTGTGTGTTTGTGTGTGCGTTAGGGAGAGAGAGAGAGAGATAAGTAAAAAAAATGAGAGAGAGAGAGAGAGAGAGAGAAGTGTGAGTGAGATTACTATTTGTATAATAATTAATATGCATTATATTTAATGTACTTTTAGGTGTAATACATTGCAGTTTCGAAGAGGACGAGTTGAAAGTGGATAAAATGGCGCCAAAGTATGAGAGGTTAGGCAATGGCGTCGAATGTCCTGAAAAAGTAGAGCTAATTCTGGAGAAATGCAAAGAAATGGGAACAACTAATGACACGAATGGCAGATTGTGAGTAGTAGCTATATTTAAATAAATTTTTATTAATATACACTATTTAATTTATTATGTAATTAAATTTTGAATTAAATTATAATACGTATAGGGTGGGCCAACTAGTTAAGTGAACATTTCATTATTTTGGGTTTGGGTCACTTAGAAAATGTAGACATTTTTATATAGAAATACAAACAGATTTTAGTTAAAATTATTCAATAAATCATTAGTTAACATTGTTTAAAAATTTAACATATTATAATTTATTATAGGTAATTATTTTTCTGTTACTCGTATTTTAATTATAAATTATGATAAGTTGGCATTATTTATAATAATTTATATATACAGTACGTATACTGTATATAGTATATTAAAAATATAAAATTATTATACTAAATTATATTTTTAATAAAACGAATAGACATAATATTTAGTTTTTGACAATAAGTTATTATTATAGTAACAATGTTAAGTTTATACAGTATATAAAGTTTATACTGAATAGATTTTAGCTATGGGTGTCTTATAAGCATCCATTTCTACGGCTAAATAAAATTAGAGTAGAAAATTAGTAACAAATTCTAATTAATTTTCAAACATGTTGAAATAGTTATGTACATTATTGCAAATTAATGAGATGGCCACTATAAATACAGCTATAAGTTGCATATTTAAAAATATTGTATTTATAATATTGTCAAATACTAACAAGTAATATATTATACTTAATACAAATTTATTTGTTTTAATTACCACATTATTTTAACTTTTATAAATAAATAATACCAAGATTGATTTTAATTTAATTACTAATTATATTACTATGAACATTGAAATAACACAATAATTAATGATAATAATTATTATTATTATAATTGACTAATTGACCATGTTTCAAAACACCCAGGTTGTGGGATGTATTGGACAGCTTTAAATATATCGGTTACCAAAAACCCGTAATCCGTGACGTGATTATGGAGAGCCCTAGTATTTCGAACTACGAGAAAGTTAATAACTACTGCAAACTGGCCAATGACACCATGTTGACATATTGCGCGATACTCAATTCTAAAGTGGTCGAGTCGAAAAAACTACGCGATCGTGTTCTTGGTTATCTAACCGATGCTGCCAGCCAAATTAAAGTTAATCTGGGCGAAGTACTATGGTATGTTTGTATTTATATTTATTTATATGTAAAAGTTAAAAGTATAAATTTTAAACAATGTCATTTATATCCCAAAGTACAACATTTATTTTATGATAGATTTAATTGTACTTTTTATTAGATATTATTCATGTATTTATGTCAGATTAGTATTAAATTAACATACATTTTAAATTGTTATATGTTGTTTGAATAAATTCTAAATAAATTCCTAACCTCATTCCCTCCCCCAAGTGTGAACGTAATATGCGAACGACCCTTAACCACAATTCGGGCAATGCTTAAATAATATATTAGCATTATCTGTAGACTAT